CTGACTTCTCTTTCTATCGCTGATGCACCAGGCAGGCATAGTGTAAGGCACAAAGGAGATGGTCCCCACTTGACAGTAGGATTAGTTTAGGAATGTCACGCATAACTTTGCAATTACCTTTGTTGAAAGTCACGTTTGTAATGTGAGGTTTACTGGATCAAGCACCACTGTGTGTGTGTGTGTTTTATTTTTTAGAGATTTTATTTATTTATTTTAGAGAGAGAGTGCGAGCACGAGTCGGGGAGGGGCAGAGGGAGAGAGAATCTCAAGCCAGCTCCGTGCTGAGCACAGAAACAGATGCTGGGCTCCATCTCACAACCCCAAGATCATGACCTGAGCCGAAACCAAGAGTCGGATGCATAACCGACTGAGCCACTCAGGCGCCCCCCGTGTGTGTGTTTTAGAAGAGAGAGAGAGAGAAATTAGGGTTAACATTTCTAATATCTATAAAACAAGACTATGCTGTGTGGAGCCAAGGCTAACTGCCAGTTAAGTTACATCAGTGATTGTTGGTGCCCTAAGCTCCCAGTCCTTGATAAAGGAATTCTGCACTTTAGGACCAAAGTTCAAATCCAGGGCTCTGGACTATATGGATTCACCCCATTTGGAGAGCCATGCTGTAGAAATACATATAAATCCTGCTCAGGATGTTCTGTCAAGGCCACTGACAAAAATCCATCAGAACCTAGTTGATTCCCCCAAAATACGTACAACCCCAAGTGCCAAAAAGATATTCCTAAATCATTTGAAATGTCATACTTTTTTCCATAATGGGTAGGCATATTTTAATTCTGAGAAGATTTAGAATTGAAAAATAGAAGATTTTAATAGAATCAAAGCCTTAGTGTTAATATTTGACTTAGAGGTTCTACACATATTTGATGTTTTTAAGTAATTATTTAAAATAATTTGGCCCATGCAACAGGTCAGCCTGTTTTCCCAAATTAAAATGTGCAGTGAAGTAATTGATTTAGACTTGATTTTTGGGAGGGTTGAAGTCTTACTAGATTCTTAAGCAGTATTAGAGTGTTTAAGATAATTTATTAGGTTTCTAAGAGTTGTTTAAGGAAGGTTTTAGAAGTTAGGTCAAACAGTTCTAATAATTAAAAGAAATATATTCTAAATTAAATATGGAATTTTAAATGTTTAAAGGAGTTGTAATTGCTTTGTAAAATGGACCAAAAATTATTTGAGTGGCCCTTTGAAAGCAGTTATAGAGGCTCCTGGGTGGCTCAGTTAGTTAAGCGTCTGACTCTTGGTTTCGGCGCAGGTCATGATCTCAGGGTCGTGAGATTGAGCCCCGCATCTGGCTCTGTGCTCTGTGTGGAGTCTGCTTGAGATTCTCTTTCCCTCTGCTCCTCCACTGCTCATACACATGCTTTCTCTCTCAAAAAAATAAATCTTTAAAAAAAAAAACCCAGGGGCGCCTGGGTGGCTCAGTCGTTAAGCGTCTGCCTTTGGCTCAGGTCATGATCCCAGGGCCTTGAGATCAAGCCCCGCATCGGGCTCGATCCCAGGGCCTTGAGATCAAGCCCCACATCGGGCTCCCTGCTTTGCAAGAAAGCCTGCTTCTCCCTCTCCCATTCCCCCTGCTTGTGTTCCCTCTCTCGCTGTGTCTCTCTCTGTCAAATAAATAAATAAAATCTTTAAAAATAAATAAATAAAACCCCCAAAACAAGAGAGTGATTATAAAAATAATAGGATATTTAAGTTGAGGATGAACTAGGGTGTTTAAATTTGTTTTTTAAATAAATGAATAAGGGTGCCTGGGTGGCTGAGTCAGTTAAACGTCTTCCTTCAGCTCAGATCATGATCCCAGCGTCCTGGGATTGAGTCCCATGTCAGGCTCCCTGCTCAGCGGGGAGTCTGCTTCTCTGCTCCTCCCCTGGCTCATGTGCATTTCTCTCTCTCTTGCTTACTCTTTCTCTCTCAAATAAAATCTTAAATACATACATACATACATACATGCGTACATATACACACACTCATTTTTAAAAACCAGGTAAGTCCAAATAGTATTTGTGTATACAGAGCTGCCCTCATGGTGATTAGAAAATTCACATGAAATAAAGTGATTAACAAACACTGTTCGGATCAGGTAGATACTCAGAGTTAGTTGAATTTGAATTTACAGTCGGAATCAGCGGTATTCCTTATGGAGGCGGCAGGCAGGAAAACTTAGGTATTCCTTATGGAGGCAAGAAACACAGAAACCTCAAGTTAATTACCTTTCATGGCTTCAAACATGGTAGGGAAGAAAGAACACAGGGTTTTGAAAGGTGATCTTACGTTAAGAACGGGAAACAAGAGTCACGGCAAGTTTGGGTGAAATGGTGGCTCTGACGTGCTCGGCATGAGTTAGCTGCTCAGGGAGGGGCTGTTGTAGACACGTCTGTAATAATTTTCAGACGTGCTAAATTTAATCAGTTTGCGTTGACACTGCTTAACTCCAAGGGGTGTCATCTGCATGGACCCCCAGGCTGTGTACAGTCAGATGTGGCTGTCCTGGGTGTTGATCTCACCATTCCACCAAGTGCCGTAAGGAATCAGCTGTAGAGGTTGTATGTCACGCACATCACACAACTTTGTCTCCTTTCACGGAAAAAGAGTAGGGGGCCAGGGGACGTTTTTGCTATCTGGACAAGGTTCGGATGAAATTGCACATAATACAGAACCCCGGATTTATTTCATGCTGGCCACTCAGGCAGCCCTGAACAGGACGCACAGGGAGGCCCTGAGTTTGGAGGATGCTTGGCTCGTCTGCAGACATTGTCATTTAGGTCTGGCTTCTGGTAATTAGGCACTCCTGGCCGGACTCTGCTGTCAGCACGCCTTTGAGACAAATTGCAAAATCTGTACAACCATCTGAGAGATAGAGAAGTAGACCCCAATGACACTAGAGGGGATATTGGTAGTTCTCAAAAGTTTGAGAGAGAATGCTTAGAGAAGCAGTTCTTTAACCTGAATTTAGAGGTCCTTTTCCTGTGGTGAAAGGGTAAGTTCAGACAAGCATCAGGATCTGAGAGGATCCTGACAGGCTGCAATGATAGGCTTAATCTAACGGGATGAAATGCAATGGAAATAAACGTAAGGTTCTGTATTTGGATCAGAAAAATCCCAACTATGCATGAAAAGACTGGGTGAAGAGGTAGGGATATATCTGAGGAGTAATCTACATGAAAAAGACCTCGAGGAGTTCAAATGACATAAACTTGACAGTCTTTTGTGGTTCCCCAAAATCAAATGCAGCGTTAGGCTGCATTAACAGAGGTACAGTATTTAGGATGAGGGAGGTGATAGACTTCTGCTGTGGACTTGTCATAGGAGGAGCACCCCTGTAGTTCTGGGCTCCAGGCTATGAAAGGAAACGAGACAAAGGATGGTCCCTGGATGGATATGGTAGTGTTCCAAAGCTGTCACAGGTAACAGAGGAACAGAAGAGGTTTGGCCTGGGTACAATTCCAGGAGGACCTGAAAGCTGTCATTAATATCTGAGAGTCAGTCATGTGCATAGCTCTGTTCTTGTTAAGAGGAACAAGGAGACTCCGGGGATGAAAGTTATAAGAAGCCCCAAATAAGAAGGGTCTTTTTTTCCCCCTTAAATATGTTTTAAGGTAAGATGGACTGCCTCCTTAATTCTATAAGTACTTGGTGAGGCTTCTAAGAATTGAGGCTTCTAGCGGTGGGAGCGGATGACCCAGAAGAACTTCCCAGCCCCAGGATTCATGATTCCTCTGCCTTCCAGTGGTGACCCTGTCCTGCGTGGTCCTAACACAGGCAGGCAGCAGACAGAGCCATGATGACAGGAACCATCTGGGCAGTGCTGAGGGAGCCTCTAGAACCTTCCGATGAGATTTCCACGCTCTTGGGTCGGTCCTCATTCGTGCGGCCAGTTCTTTACTCTTCCAGGGTAGATCGGGGGTGGGGGGGTGAGGGGTGGTCCCTCTCTTTCACCAGAGGCTCTGTTTTTTCCTCATTGGTTCTTTCCGCGTGCCCAGCAGTGTGCTGGGTACTGGGGAGGCTTTGGGTCGAAGGACAAAACTCTTGCCATCTTCAGGTATGCAGCCTTTTCTGGGAAGTAGGACAACACAGACAAACCCTACAGCGAGCCTTGCAGTTAATGATTGTAGGTAACTGCACGAGTGGGTTATTATTCGTGTAGTAGTAGCGATACATACCCCACTTAGCTCCAGGGACACCTTTTCCCCATCACATTCCCATCTTCGAAGTCAGATGATCTGTTTGAGACCTCTCAGTCTCCTGGTGGGCTAGGGGCACGGGGGCTGTTTGTGTATACTTGTAGTCCTCTTCTTTCCCCTACAGGTTATAGAGCTTTGAGGAGGTTACGTCATTTTTTTTTTTTTTTCTTTTTCATGAACATGATCTTGCGTAGAGTTAGTTCCTAGCACAGTGACTACCTGTAGGGAATGTCTGCTTTCATACTGTTACTCTCCTTCTCATGGTAGGAGCAGTTCATTCTGCAGTGGCTATACTGACTCTAAGTGGAGTTAGCTAGAAGCCTGGGTGAGGAGGGGCGGGCATGAAAACTTAGACAGAAACAGAAATGGGTTTGTGGACTCGCAGTGCGCATCCTGTGTTTGTTGCTCATACGTGTTAGGTGCGAGCATGTAAAGAAACAAGAAGGCACATTTCTATCCTCAGTTGTTAATCATAGTTCATCATTAAATGCCCTTCATGCTAAATTTCCTCTAGTAAATATTATTACAAACAATTATACTGTTTTAGTTTTCTAGCATTAGTGAGTGTACAGCTCCAGCTTAAAAAGTCTTTTTTTTTTTTTTAATTTTATTATGTTATGTTAGTCACCATACAATACATCATTAGTTTTTGATGTGGTCCAGCTTAAAAAGTCTTGATTCTAAATTCTTGGCTTTCAGAGGCTGTTTTTTGGGTTTTTTGTTTGTTTGTTTTTGTGTGTGTGTGTGTGTGTGTTTTAAGGTAACCCATCTTATTGTAAATTCTTCTTTCTTTCAGGTAGGAATGAATTGATAGCCAGATACATCAAACTCAGGACAGGCAAGACGAGGACCAGAAAACAGGTAAACTGACCGGCCTGCACACTGTGCATGTTGGCGAATGGCCCCAACGAGGCATTTTGGCTGCAGTGGCTGTCTGTGCTTTGGCTCCTAGGAGCCCCCAATTTGAGTTCCCTGTAAGGACATCAGTGTTGTAGGTGTTTTCAGTTGGCTCAGTTTTCACTGTTCATCATTTCAGTGACCCCTCACTGTGTGGTCTCCGGAGTCCTTTTCATACCTATCTGGGAAAGCGTCACCACGAAGGAGAGTGTAGGCACTGCTCCTGTACCGTATTTTAATACCTCTAGTTCTTTCCCAAACTGCGCATCTGTAAACACTGCAAAAGCTGCAGATGCGAATACGCTCAGAAGTTGTGAAACTTGGAGATTTTGCGCATTGTAAAATCCTGGAACCATTACCCATGAGTCATCATTTCGATGAAACAGTAACCCCAGCAGCCGTGAGTCTTGGCCTGAACATAATACTGAATGGTGTGCGTCCAGGGAATGGTTGCTCCTTCAGCTACGGCTTTTTGTCAGTAGCTGCCGTGACGGAAATGAAGTTACAACTTAAATACATTTGTGCAGAGCAGTGTCAGGAATTTTGCTCTGCCCTTTGTCAGGGCTCTGGCTCTCCTTGTTCCTTCTGATGCAAAGCAGCCCAAACCCCTGACCCAGTTCAGAACTGGAAGGGATGAGAAATTCATGTTTAACGAAAAACAGAAAAAGAAAGGAAAAGCGGTGTGTGTAGGGGGGGAATCAAACCAACCTCGTGGGTGAGTTGTTAACAGAACAAAATTATTTTTTAATGTTGACCTATGCGGATCTATCTGGCATGGATTTTTAAAAAACTATCATCGTACCGAAAGGCGAGCTCAACTGTGGTCTCTTTAAGTGTGAGCAGCAGATTCCAGTTCTCTGCTCCATGATGAGTTGTTTTCATGAGTGTTTATGGCGGGGAGAGCTTTTCCCCAGGAATGCTTACATGTGCCCCCGCCGGGAGCCTGGCTGCTGAGTCAGCACAGAGGGCCGTGGCCTCCTGCCAGTACGTAGAGGCGGGGCATTGTCTGTTCAGTGGATGTCCCCCCCCCCCGCCCCCAACAGTGGACAGTGGCCCTCTGCAAGTCAGAGAATCACCTAAGAACAAAACTCGGGTGAGAACAAGTAAAACCAGGAGCCGGATGGAGGGGTGAAGAGGATGGGGGAGTTCCTGCTTCTCCGTACTTTAAAAAAAAAAAGAAGGCAAATTGGAAAAAAAAATTAATCATTGAAACTCAAAGATAAAAGGATCTTTTATTACCCTAAATCCTGTTTTTAGAGTCAGTATTTGAAATGAAATAACCGCCTCTCAGTCTGAGTCGCTGAACTTTTAAATGGAAGGTTCTAAATTTCTGAAACAGACAGCTCTAATTCCCAACATGCTGAAAGCCCTGGACCTGAGCTGTGTGCTGGTCTAGGAGCTCTGGTCATGTGCCCAACCCCTTCACTGGGGGACTCTTCTAAATTTAACCAAGTCCCGCTGAAAGAGATGCAAATTTGTTTACCCAGTGGAATCATTGTGTTTCAGAAGCTGGGCTTGGCTGGCTTTCCACACCCGGCATCCTGGGGATGTTTTTAGGCAGCAGTTGGTGATACCTCTCCAATGTGAATTTGTTGTTCAGCAAATCGTGTGGTTTTCAACCCAGATTTTTAACAGGATGGCTGGCTGGCTGTATTCACACTTTTCGCTTTGTAATAATATGCAAATCCACTTGGCGCCCAGTCAATATCCAAAAGAGTGGAAGGATTAAAGATATTTATAAGGGCAAAAAAAAAAAAAAATTGCTCTGCTAACTGGGTCTTTCCATTTCTCTTTGAGATCTAATTTACATGTCAGTATTATTTTAACATTTGCTACAGAATCCAGAGCTCTTAATGAGATCAGAATATAACCGACGGCTTCAGCTTTTTGATTCTGCAGAATGTGCTAATTTATGGATAGTCTCTTCTAAATTGAGAAGAAGGGATTTTCCCTCCTGATACTGAGAAGCTATAAATATTTTCATTTACCTCTAGCCCCACCTTTTAAATTTCATAAAGAAAACAACCCCACTCTCTCCCTCTCATCCCGTGCCCGTGATTTCTCCCTGGTGAGAAAACTAAGAGCAGCCTAACTTTCATCCTGAATCAAGTCACTGCAGTGATGACCCAGTCTGAAAAGCTTAGAGCAGCGCTGGGGGCTTGGTGTCTGGCTGGGACTGTGTATTCCTAACTGCAGAGCTTTGTTGAGATGCAAATAACCTCCCCCCCACCCCCCACCCCAAAACCCTCCCAAGGAGTAGCGATTTTATATTTGATTTCCTTTTTTTGTTTTGTTTTGTTTTGTTTTGTTTCCCCTCATAAACCCGAACAATGTAGGTGTCTAGTCATATACAGGTCTTAGCAAGAAAGAAAGTTCGAGAAATTCAAGCCGCCATTAAGGTACGTCTGGCTTGCCCAGTTGTAGGGGGCTTTTCATCTCCATGGTTACAGGCTTTTCCTTTGTTTTCCTCCCTTCCCCTACCCTGCAGGTGTCTAGTCACATTCAGGTTCTTGCCAGAAGGAAATCTCGTGATTTTCATTCCAAGCTAAAGGTATGCGCTTTCCTGCTTTTTGGCTTGTGGTTGCTATGCATCTCACTTCCTGTTTTCCATGGTGACTGGTGAATGCCTGGTGCTGGGATTCTCGTAACCTAGTTTCCTCGCATGTGAGAGCTGTTTACATTTCTTTGTGTCTAATCTCTCTTTCTGTACTAGCCTCACATTAAGCTCAGAGTGTGTGTGTGTGTGTGTGTGTGTGTGTGTGTCCCTAATAACAATGCAAATGCAGCAGAGAGCTGGTCTTGATAACTTTTCAGCACAGAAACATGATTTTTTTTTTAACCTTCAAATGTCCACCAAACAGCCCCGGGCTAGGAGAGGGGAAAAAAAGTCCAGAGACACAAAGTTAGTGTAGAAGTAGTAAATAAATAAAATAAGAATCACTTCCAGAGTAGTTATCATGAAATTACTTTTTTTTTTTAATCATGAAATTACTTTAAAAGAATATTTAGAAGTTGTTTTACGCTTTTTATGTATTTTAAAGAATGCTTATGAAAAACACGTCTTTTTCACTTAATTTTTCGAAAAATGTGTTCTGTAAACACAGAGTATTTTCTGCCAGATTTCTTCCACATTGCTCAATATTGTTTTTTAAGTGTACAGCTCTGTTATTAAAAAAAGAAATTTGAGGTGAGGCCTTAAAAAAAGATCATAGAGATGGGAAAGCTCTTAAATCCATGTTTGTAATTCCGTTTATACGTGAGTTTACTTTAATTGTTCTTTACAGGTGTCTCATTTTCCATTCTTTGAAAATATATTTCACAGCAAAAATGGAGGCACTGACAGGTTTTAAATGCAAGTTCTCCTTATTTTCTCCCCTTCCAAAATTTGCAGTAAAACATACATGACTTTTTTTTTTTCCCCATAATGCCCGATTTTAGAAATGCAGAGGGATTATAGTTTGCCCAGAAGAGCTTTGCTTTATAATAAAAATGAGTTTGGAGCCCATATTGTTGCCTTTCCCACCTGCCTTTTTTGTTGTTGTTCTGTTCCAATTTTTTCCATACATTCATTAAATTTGTTTTTGTACTAAACCTAAAGAACAAAGTGTGATTTCACAGCACTGAATGGTGAACACTGGGATCCTACCCAAAGTCCTCCAACTTTTTTTTTTTTTTTTTACGCAAACAAGGCTGGCTGTGGAACAGGACTAGTGACCAGGAAGGAGCATTTGGTGGCCCTCTGCAGTGGGCAGCATGCTGGCTCGCTCGCACGTGTGGCTGATGGTGGCTGGCTTTTAGCTGCACGGGCTGAGCAGTTGGAAGACTAAGATAACTTCATAGATCCTGCTTTTTAACCAAAGGTGCCGTCCTCTCTATGCGGATGTAACTACCCCAGTGTTTGCTCAAGTTCTGACTTTGTTTCTGGTTTCTCTGCGCTAACGAATTAATGATGTACAAAAGAAGTTTACAGACATCAGTTGTGTGTTTCCATCTGCGATGTTATGAATTGCTCTTATTTCTGTACCATCCATGTGGTTCCTACCGACTCACCGGGGCACACAGCCCTGGACCAGAAGCCCTGTGCATGGTGAATAAAGCTCTCCTGTCCAGAAGGGATTCCCCATGGGATGCAGGAAGTGCTCTTTTTCTCATTTGGGAATTTTGAAGAGTCTTCCTCGTTGGAAACAATTTACCATTACTTTATACATACGTGTACACACAAACACACGGTTGTATTTATGTTTGTTCTTACAAAATAAGAAAAGGTGACATCCCCCCTCCTTTCAGCCATGGCCCACTCGCCTTGGGAGCCGACCTAAGGAGGTGGAAACAGAGGCAATAGGGTAGCAACCGGCTCAGCCCCAAGAACCACCTCCATCTTCTTGCAGTTACTTGCCTTCCTCCCTGCCACATTATTCTTGGAAGAAGGGAGGCCTTTGTTTCTTCCCATCAGCTAATACCAATTGAGCGCTCCGGGCATGGTGTTCATCATGGTGGGCATTTAACCAGTCAACCCCCTATTCACAGAGCTGGCCGTGGAGATGGGAATGGGAACTATAGGGCACTGTGGGATAAGTGTTAGTGGAAAGAGCCAAGAGCAAACGTGGAGGGAATCCCAGGGATGCACTGCCTGGTGATGGGGATGCAGAGACAGGAGTTAGTGTGCTGCAGGGCCTCTTGGAGGTTCTTTCCATTGAGCTCACTGCCAAATAAGTTCCATTATTCAGAGTTTGGGGAATAACAGTGAGGAAACCAGAGCTCCAGGAGTTTAACGGATATGCCCAGAGCCCCCAAGCCTAGTACACGTCACTGTCAGGATTTGAACTCAGATCTTTCTGAATCTTAAACCACTGCTCTCTCAGGCGGGGTTGCATCCAGTGGAGGTGGGAGAAGGTTTTCAAGCAGAAGGCCTCGAGCCGGCACACCCCGTGTCACCCCTCACGTCCCTTGGAGCTGGGCGTGCAGCTCTTGCTAATGACCCTTTCCTCAGCTCCCACATTTTAGAAGCAAGGTGAATTTTTAACACCGAGCCCTTGGTCCGCGTGTGGGCTTCATGTGTGACTGACCCTGTGGTGATCATCTGTAACTTGGGGCCGTGAGGTCCTAGCCACAGAGCTGCTGTGTCACCACTCAGAGGACATTAGGACGGTCCAGGAGCGCGAGACTGGCTGTCGCCTACGTGCAGAGATATTGCCGCCTTCGCCTCCCACGGGCACTTGACGTTAGCGATGCCTTCCTTAACCTTCCTAACCAGCCATCACCGGGAAGTGGTCTCGTAGGAGAGGTCGATCTTGCCTGTTTGTCCGTGCTCTCCCGTTCAGCTCTGGAGTGTAACAACCGCACATTTGTGGGAGGCAGGGATGAGCCTCCCGGCTGAGTTCGTTGTGGGGTCAGGCTGACAGCCACGTCGTCTTGGCCTCCCACACGAACTGACGCGATAAAGCCGCTACAGAAGGTTGAAGTCATCCCAGCAGACAAGAAGGATAGCTTCTGGGTGGGCGGTAGGGGGTGGCAGGAAGTATCCAGACTTAACAGAGATGTTGTGTGCCCTGCCTGAGAAGATGTAACAAGGCCTCCTGGAAGGGAGGTGGCTGTCCACTGGCCACTTCAGGACCTGTGCCTGCCGGCCGGCCTTAGCCCACTGCTGGGCACTTCTCCATATGTTTACAAGACAAAGGCCTGTAGCCCTCCTTTGAAGAATGAAGCCAAGCTTCATCCTTCTGTCCTCCCTCAGAGTTGGAAAAAGTAGTTTGCTCACCTGGGGCCGCTGCTGGGTGTGGCTTCCCTGTGAGCCCTGTTGCCTATAACCCTCCCTCCTTTCCGGGGAAGGGTGTGCTAGAATTCTTGAGGCTGGTCGCTTTCCAGCCTTTTTTAAGTCACAAACTCATTTTTCAGATTGAAATCTTAGTCGAAACATTTAATATATAAATGAGTAAACGCTGTTCTTTTTTTTTTTTTTAAGATTTATTTATTTGATAGAGCAGGAGCGGGAGGGGGAGAGGGAGAGAGAAATCTGAAGCCAATTCCCAGCTGAACGCGGAGCCTGGCACAGGGCTCGATCTCACCACCCTGAGATCAGGACCTGAGCCAAAACCAAGAGTCAGGCATCTAACCCACTGCGCCACCCAGACACCCCTAAATGAGTAAACACTGTTTTAATTGAAGCTCGTGCTCTTTTATCCTTAGCAATGGTCTCTTTGGCTGTTCCACTGAATAAGGTTTGAAAACCCCTCTGCTTTAGGCCAAGGGAGAAGGAGGTAACTTCCTCTCAGCTGTCCCTGCAGCCTTTTCAGGACAGTGCACGCTCTGCATCGTGCTCCGCCATATTCCTCCGAAGCAGAGTCACGAAGAGAGTGGTCATTCTCATGTCACAGTTGAGGAATCATCCTAGCTACGAAAGTCAAGCTCTTGAAAATCTGTTAAAATAAGTTCCAAAGTCAGCTTTATGCTTCTGCTGATTGCAGAAGTGGTTCTCAGAGTGCCTGTTTGTGAGCCAGATCACCCTAAAAATGTGTGGGCTTTAATTTTAACTTTTTTTTAAAGATTTTATTTGTTTGAGAGAGAGAGAGAGAGCACACAGAGGGAGAGGGAGAAGCAGACTCCTCACTGAGCAGGGAGCCCAATGTGGGGCTCGATCCCAGGACCCTGAGATCATGACCTGAGCCGAAGGCAGACGTTTAACCAGCTGCGCCACCCAGGCGCCCCTAATTTTAACCTTTGTAACAAAATTTGTTTTGGGGGAAGTTTAAGATTTCCACAAAGATTTGAACTTTATAAAGCACAGAAATGATTAATTCAGTCCAGCAGACTTTTCATTGAGAATCCAGTGTGTCTAGACCCTTGAATAGATGTTGGGCATAGAGAGTCAAATAAGCAGAGTCTCTGTTCTTGAGGACCACTAAACTTTTCTGTTGTTTTTGGCCACATTTGGGGAAATACTAGATTTCCAGTAGATTGTCCCACAGTTAGGGGAGTCTGCAGTGGAACAGAGTGGTGAAAAGAGTGGGTGGTTTTGAGTGTGGGAGAATTAAGGAAAGCCTCATTGGAGGGGGTGTCATTAGAACTGGGCATTGAGGAAGGCAGACAGTTCCCCCTCAGATATGGGGGTGTTTGGGGAATCACAAAGAACACCATTACTTGGAGGCACGGGATGGGAATGAGCCTGAGGGAGCCCAACAGGAAGGTCCCAGATCATCTGTGGGAGAGTGAGGGTCACCTCTGGGCCATGGGGAACCTGTGGGGAGCACTCACATGTAAGCTTTGGAAAGCTCTCTCCCACTGTTTTCAGAGGGATGGCCAGGAGGGAGGCAGAGCTGGAGGCAGGGGGCCTAATTCAGGGGCTGCTGTAGTCTGAGAGAGAGAGAGGTGAGGGCTTGGACCAGGCAGCCACACCCCCCTGGGGCCCATCTCTGTGGTTCACATCAGCGCTCCCCGCGTCTGCGGCTGGTTCCCGCTCCAGGCCACTCTGACTGCTGTGAACTCTTCCTTCCTCAATGTTTTTAAAGAGTAGATTATGTTTAAAGCTCCAGTCCTTACGAAGTTGAAAAGTGT